CCTTAGTGTTTTGTATGCCCAGGAAGTAGGCTGCTGAAATTAGGATGTGGTTGGCTATACACCAGTTCCATAGCCTCATTGCTTCAGCACAAAGAAGAGTATCTCATTCCCCCTGCCAGCTGATATAGAACATGCAGGCTACATTGTCATGGTTTTTGTGGATCTGTTGCTGACTAATAGCTGGAAGTGGATACAGGCATTCCTTACTGCCTTCACCTCCAGAAGGCTGATGTGTAACCGTGCCCTGAATGGTATGGATCCCTAAATGCACTCCCCAACCTACCAGAGATACATCTGTCATTATGGTGATGGTCGGGAAGACCTGGATGAATGGAACACCTGCACAAACATTGTGTAAGCCTTTCCACCCGTTGGGAGTCTCACACCTGATAAGGGACTGACACCAGCTTGTTCAGGTTGTGTTTGTTCAGGGTATAAACCATCCTGAGCCAGTCCAGGAAAGATCAAGGCATAACTTGGCATATTGTGTCACAAAGGTGCAAGCTGTCACATGTCCAAGTAATTGAAAGCAATTTCTTGTTAATGTCTGTGGAGTGATTTGTATTTTTGAGATAAGGCCTTCCACTTCCTTTCAGAATCTATTAGACTCTATTGTCTAATAGATCTCACTTTTCAATTAGTATCAACAAAAATTTCTAAAGTTTCCCTTTGCTTAATTTCATCTCTCGTCTTCTATTTCTATCCCCCAGAACTCTCCTAAGCAACTAGTCTCCCTCTTCATTATTTACATTCAAATGCTTGTAGACATATCAGATCTTTACCCTTTTTTTCCCCTTTAGTGAAGCTAAACTGGTTTAGATATTTTGATCTTCCCTCGTAAATCAAGCCCTCCAGCCTTTTAGTCATTTTTGTTGCTCTTCTCTAATTCCCTCCAATTTGTTGATTGCTTTCTGATCATAAGAATTGTGTATTTATACGGCACCTAAGGGGCACCCTATACACTGCATGCAATATTCAAGGTGCACTCTGTACCAGAAAGAAGCCCATCAATTCCTTTTTAAGTGATGTATCAGGGGGTAGCCGTGTTAGTCTGTATCCACAAAAACAACAAGGAGTCCGGTGGCACTTTAAAGACTAACAGATTTATTTGGGCATAAGCTTTTGTGGGTAAAACACCTCACTTCTTCAGATGCATCATTTTAAGTGATGAAATTCCTTTGCAAGTGCCACCGGAATTTCACTTTGCCTTTTTTTTTTTGAAGCAGTATTTTCTAGCCATTTGCTAGTTGGCCATTTGCTACCACCGCTGGCATTACACCATTTCCATGATCTTCCTTGCCATTGGACATCAGAGTTTTGTCCTGCCACTGCACCAGTTGGTATTTTTCTAGGTTCAGTATAATTTTCTTCTCTGGCCATATCCTTTTTATTGTGTTTTAGTATTCAGTGGAATGTGCAACACCTCCCACTTCAATAACATCTGCCGGAGTTAGCAAATTTACCATTTGCCCCTGCCAGATTAAAAAAGGCTTACAGCTGAACACCTGACACTGATCCTGGTAGCACCTCCTGCTCAATACATTGCCATTTATCACTAATGCCTTTGGTTTACATTCCTTCAGCCTGCATTTAACCCATGAGACCATGTTCATATCAGGCCCATTACAAATGAAGTGCAAGTAAGATCATGCGAGTCACAATATCATTTACGTTTTCAAAAACAAGTCTTACTCGAACAGTTGATATTTATCTGTTGGTGCAATACAGGAGGAAGCTAGCTCTATAGCTCTACATCAATTACTGCTTTTTCTTCTACCCTGTTTCCCCGAAAATAAGACAGTGTCTTATATTAATTTTTGCTCCCAACGATGCGCTAGGTCTTATTTTCACGGGAGGTTTTATTTTTCCTGGAGCTTCGGGGCCTTATATTCTGGGGTGGCCTTATTATCGGGGAGGTCTTATTTTCGGGGGGATGCCTTATATTACAGCGAGAGGCAAAACTGGAAGTAGGTCTTATTTTCGGGGGATGTCTTACTTTCGGGGAAACATATGTATTGCGGTTCCCAATGGGGATTAGGAAGCTCCGTTCATTTACTGACAGAGCAATGAAGAATATATGTATGTTTCTTATGGACAGCAGGTGACCTGACTTTGTAATGCAGCTGACTTGTTGCATTAAGAAAACTAAAAGCATTAAGCTTGTATTAATTTTATCGTTTCATTTCATTATATTGATCCAATGGTCTTGGAAAACCTTAGGTTGCTCTCCAATATAACCAAATGTTAGAAACTCTGTACATTCCTATTTATGCATTAGCATTTTATTTATTTTTAATAGTCAGAAATAATATTCTCTCACATTCAGGTCTCTGTGCTGCGCTCATCACTGGGGTATCTGAGCACTTCTATTATGCTATAATTTAAATGCAAAGCTTCTTTAAACTGCTGGCTTTATAGTTGAAAAAAACTACTTCAAACAAATAATGTAACCAACTGATCTTGATCTGTGTGGGGGAGTGCAGACAAGAAACTTGAGTCGGAGTTAGGAAATTGGGACTTCTGAGATCTAATTCTGACTCTGCCATTGATTCAGTGCAACTTCAGGGAATTCACTCAAGGCTTGTTTAACCAGGGACACACTCGAAAATTAATCCAAATTAATTAAAGGTGTGAATTTTAAGTGGCTTCGTTGAACTGTATATACACTCTCATTCAGGGCCGGCTCCAGCATTTCTGCCGCCCCAAGCAAAGAAAAAAAAAAAAAAAAAAAAAGCCGCGATCGGCAGCGGCAGTTCAGCGGCAGGTCCTTCGCTCCTAGAGGGAGTGAGGGACCTGCCGCCCCTGAATTGCCGCAGGTGCCGCCCCTCTCCCTTGGCCGCCCCAAGCACCTGCTTGTTAAGCTGGTGCCTGGAGCCGGCCCTGCTCTCATTGAGAATTAAAGTGACCTTAATTCAGTTTAGTTTAATTTAGCTATTTTATCTTTAATTCTGAATGAGATTGTCCACACAGGGATTTAAGGGAGTTTAACCCATTTAAAATTCACACCTTTAGTTAATTCAGATTAACGTTCCTGAGTGCCCCTGAGTGTATAAGCCCTTAGGCATCTTTACAAATCTCACTAGGCACCTATTTACATTTTTAGGCACCTAAAATACTTTTAAAAATTTGGCACTCTAAGTTTTATTATCCCCATTTTACAATCAGGTAAACTGAAATCAGAGTGGTTATCTCCTTGCCACGGCTGTTGTAAAGCACTTCAACACTCTTGGATGAAAGGTAGTGTACAGGTGGAAACATCATTATTAGGATAAAAACTGGGAGTAAACTACGTTTTTTTTTTGTTTTCATTATTTTAGGGAGAAAAGACATTATGCAATGTGACTGCTTAAAGGAACATTCTCATTAAAAAGGTTATTTTTTAAAGACATCCTTATCTGTGTTTATATCAGATAAGATTGTTAAAACAGAAAGAATATTTAATATTTTAATGTATTTTTCCACAGTTTATGCTCTTCACTTCCTTGCTGTATTTCTCTTGGCTCGAACAAAGACAAGAATGTGGTTAATTTCACTTTCTGATTTTCCATTTCTCAGGAATGTTTGAATCCCTACCACAAAAAGCTTTTCGTGGAAGTTAAACAAAATTCATGAAAACATTTCTGAAAGTGAAAGTACCCAGTGTCATTGTAACCGTGTCTGTCCCAGGATATTACAGAGACAAGGTGGGCGAGGTAATAGAAGATATTACCTTCTCTCTCTAGTATACATCTTTTCACACACTCTCACTACCTGTCCATGCGTATTTTCAAACTAAACCTAAATTTAGGGTTCTAAGCTACCTGATAGTGTAAGCCTGAAGCACCAAATCTGAGGGGACAACAGAGCCCTCCAACTTCAGGGTATGTATACACTGAAAAAACAAAACAAACCAACCCTGCATCAGGGAGTCTCAGAACCTGAGTCTATGGACTCAGTCTTGTGGTTTTCATGCTACAGCGCTAAAATAGCCGTGAAAACATTCCTGCTCGGCCTGGAACTCAGATTCTGAATCCCGGTAAGTAGGGTGGGTCTCAGACCCGAGCCGGAACGTCTACACAGCTATTTTTAGTGCTGTAGCATGAGCCTGAGTCTGTAGACCTGGGCTCTGAGTCTCGCTACCATGGGATTATTTTTTTTGCATTACAGAAGTACCTTAACAGACCATAGGCCAAACAGAGCTTCACTGATTTATAACAACTGAAGATCTGGCTCCAGGTTTTTGTTTAAAATAAATACACAGAAGTCTATTCTTTTCACTCCTGCAAATTCTCCCATACTACATGAGTCACACACAATGAAGAGGCTTTTTTTTTTTTTTAAAACAACTCCAGCTATTTATATAAAATAAGATAGTGCCTGCAAAGTTGAAGATCTCATTTTCAACAAGTCTGTCTCTATCTAAAATAAAGGATAGTGTTTTCTGATATTTGGCTATGCATTGGTTGCTACCTGGAGCACAAGGGCTGAACCTTGAACAGGTGGGGACTTACAAGCATATGAATAAGATGAGGTGCATCTCTGGCATGTGGAATAGACTAGGATAGAAATAAAAACTACTGCTCCAAGTACATTGCACAAGTCAGAGGGAAAAGGTGCTAAAGGGTGGGTGATGGGAAATGAAATCAGGAATTAAAAATAGAATTACATTTTCCACTTGGCAATATACAAACAACACTAAGTGCACTTCATAAATTTTACTATTGTTGCTGCAAGTGGTATTACCATAAATCACATTAGTAGCGCACTTGGCACTTTACAAAAGCCAAGTGGGCTGAGAGTATCAATAAGTTAAAACAGCTCCACTATCTCTGGATACTGTGGAGGGGAAAATGTATCATATAAGCTTTTACTATGACTAAAAGCTTGGTTTGCCCTGCAGCAACATACAAAACAGCTTTCTGCCAGCAAGTCATTATAACAGTGATCACCAATATTGGGGTGTGTGTGTGTGTGTGTGTGTGTGTGTGTGTGTGCGCGTGCGTGCGTTTTTGTTTTTTTACCTGCTGGGCAAGAGGAGAGGTCTGCTTGCCCTTTTTCTCATCTCTAGCAGGAAAGAGAGACTTAAGCAGCTTTGGCATCTGAGGCACGAAGGATTTTACTGGATTCAGGTAGGAGGCAGCCAGGCTACTGAGTCCTGTCAACAAAGTTTTTTTAAAAAAAAGTGTAATCAACAGCTGCGGTTCTTTCACAATAGAAAATCTATGAACCTTCTAATGTTGTAATCAGCACTAGGGAGGGAGTTAGCTAGAGGTCAGAACAACAAAGGACTAGTAGTCAGGACTCCTGTTCCTATTTCCAGCTCTTCCACTGAATTAATGTGTGATCTTGGGCAAGTCACAAACTCTCTGAGGCTCAGTTTGCCCTTCTGTAAAACAGGGATAAGAGCTCCCTCTCTCACATAGGATGCCAAGGCTTAATATACATACAAGGATTTGGAAACACTAAATGCTTTAAGAATTGCAGTAGTAGAATTTAAAAATCCAGAAACAAGCAACACAGATGATAAAATATTACTACGCAAGTGCAAAACTTTAACAAGGTAAACTTGATTACTAAATCACACCCTAGAAATAGCAACATGGATTAGAACTAAGTAATCTTGACTCCATCGGTACATAACCAGGGTCATGCAGCTCTCCCAGCTCACACCTGTTCCTTTACTCTACTGCTGTCACTCTGCTCTCATCCCCCTTGAGAAACACTAGTTATAACCAGTACATAAAAACAAACAACTTTATCACTGCACTCTTCCATTATACATTGGGCTCTATATGCAAAATATCCACCCCAATCTGCACTTTCTTCGTTATTTTCTAATACATTGGTAGCTTTGCAGCCTTTGCAATTTTACTTGCATAACATATGGTATATTACTATGTGTCTGAATTGCTTTGTCTGTTATTTAAGAATGTAAGCTTCTGGAGGCAAGGACAGTGTCTTCACAAACAGTGGGCACCACTGAACACTTTGCATACCAGCCAGGGTTTGCAGAACTGCAGTTTCCCCATATCAAAGTAAAGAAAGACAACGGTTAGGGCAGATACTCAGGACAGTGAACGTCAAGTTCTTACTGATGCTCCATGTCTGTTTGCACAGTACAGAGCACAATGGTAGAACTCAATAGGTATTCTTAAAAAAAAAAAAAAATTCCAACTGTACATTCAGAGAGACTACCTCCGCCCCCTTTTCTCCTGCAGTTCCAAATAGAATGTTTCACTCTAAACTTTTACCATAGCCGATTTAGCTTTGGGAAAGCTGTTACCTGGATCATTAGAATGGTTTTGCTGAGCAGAGCCTGACAAAGATGTATGAGACGGGGTCATCCCACTCCCAGAATGTGTTGAAATTTGGGATATATCTTGCTGGCTCTCCCATCGACCCTAGAAGAAAAGTAAGTTTATATTTTCAAAAGTATTGTGCAGAGTACGAGTCTGCTAATACTTATGCAGCATGCCAGCATATACAACGCTTCGCAGTACGCAGAATGTACAAAACTACGGACAGAACCCATGCCCCAAAATGTTTTCAGTTGAATTGAATGCCCAATCTCACAAGATGCTGAGCATCATCAGCTCCCATTGACACTGGCAGACTCCTTTGTCCACTTACAACCACTGAGGGCTAATTGCAAGAATCACTGAGTGAAATTCTATCATTATGCATAGGTCTGACTAGATGATCATACTGGCACCTTTTAACCCAAAAATCTAGGAAGACTTTGTGGCCTTCTAAAGTAGCATTCAAGAGTGAAGTTTGCATGAAAGGGAGGGAGAGCAGGAGATAATGAGAATAGATGGATGTGGACAGCCTTGATCTTTGGGCTGAAGGGAAAGCTAGTGCATAGGTTCAAGTAGTATGACAGGAGATAAGATCAGCAAGAAACGAAGATGACCTTGCTTGTTGTGTTCTATACACTGAAAGGAAGAGAGATGGAAGAAAAAGAAACTGGATTATGGCAGATACCCAGCAGTCAAGGAGAGAAGTAATTAGAGAACGGGTTAGTGTTTTAGCATTGCAGATAGGGATGAAATGTGGAGATACTAAGTGGCAGGATCTAGAGAGGGCCTGCACTAAAGGAAGGAAGACGTTGAAGAAGAAAAACGACTTGCTGTACAGTAAGTGTTCTTAGAGAAGTTCTGTTCACTTGGATCCCATTTAGGTTTGCATGCACCCTATGTGCGCCTTGGTACGATGTCTGCTCACCACAGACTTTTGTGCCCTCCGCCCCCAAAGGCATAAAGGGTGGAGCAGGCCCAACTGCTTTAGTTCCTTTGCCAATACAGAACCCCAAAGCTAAAAGACTCCACAGTAGTGGGAAAGGAGGACAGGTTGTGGAATCCACGTGGATACAACATCTCAAACACCCACAGTTACCATAAGTGACCATTTTTTTTTTCAAGTTTTTGTCCACATAAATCCCACCCTAGGTGATCAGCTAGCTTTTATCGCCCTAAGGAGATGGGAGCTTGGAGTCCTACTTAAATAAAGATTGCAGGACCACCTTACCAAACTGGACACCAGATCCAACATCTGTAACAATGAGTGCTGAATAACAATATGCACTGAGCCTCTAACTGGCAGCCCTGCAAATTTCTGATACAGAAATATTCCTCAAGAATGCCAGTGAGGTTGCTTGGGCCCTAGTAGATCATGATTTAATGTGAGATGGCGGGGCTAATTTATTTAGTTAAGAGGATATTTTAGTTCAGCATGATAACTAGGTCTCTAGAATTTGTAAATACAGACAGTACTGAAGAAGGCGGTACTGAGGAAAGGGGTACCATAGAGATCAAGGCCAGTGAGGGTCTCATCTCTCACACCAGTGAGAACATCATCAGTGCAGATGGTAATGAGGTAGCTGGTACCAATATAGAAAGGTTGATGCCGGAGCTCAATTGCCACGGTGCCAGTGCCAAAGCGCATGCATCAGGCAGTAGAACTGATCCAGGTTGCAGGTCAGGCTTTGAAGAAGGAACTGTGCTTTGATGCTACCAGGAAAGGTGATTGATGCTATGTTTGGGTCTTAGAATAGTGCTCATTTCTGCCAGTCAGCAGGAGCAACTGACGGACCCATGGAGGTCTGTCCTGATCATTTGCTACCTCTAGACAAGGTCTGAGGCCTTTTGGTAGCTATGGAGACACAGGTACCAGGGATAGCTTATCAGAGCATTGGCCAAATGCAGTTTATGAATAGCTGAATCATCTTTCAACTCCTGATTCTCTGAGTCAAAAGTGCCCTTCATTGATTGCTCCAATAGAAATAATTTCAGCCAAGTGACTCAGGCTTTCTGGATCCATTTGGAGAAAGTTTTACAGATGGAGCACTTGTCAGGAATGGGGTCTTCTCCAAGGCAAAAGAGGCCTTTAGAATGCCCATCATTCAGGGGCATTGCTGCCTCATAGGAAGAGCAGGACTTAAAGCCTGGAAACTGTGCCACAGCTATAAGATCAATGCTTCAGTACTGAAGAGTCTCAGATTTTCTAAAACACTATTTCTATTATTTTGCCAATGGGCTAAATAAAGTGAAATGTTAAGAACTCAACTGCTTCTAACTAACAGAAAAGTGCTAAGGGGTAGCAGGTGGACACAAGTTCTGTCTCACTGCCATAGGTGATAAGAAGAAACTGAGAGGCATTTGGGCCCATTCCATCCTTTATGCCCTCAGGATCGTGGGGAGGCACATGCTCCTAGAATGGCATCCACATGTACAAGTATTTGAAGAATAGTAGTTCTTAGCAGTGAGCATGTGGAAGAAGAGAGAGGAAAGAATATCCCAGTTTTGGACACGAGGCAAGATTAATCAGGATGACTATGACCCATTGACTTTGAGAAGCCAGCAAGCCATCCAGGAGGAGATATTCTAGTGGCAGGTGGAGCTACTCTAATGGTCAGAGAATTAAGAGGTGTATTGCCAACAGAACAGATCAGTATAAAGTGGATAACAGAACCCAAGGGACCAAATAATATTCCCCAAAGAGTACAGAGGTAAAAGGAGGGGGGCAAGAATGCTCAACTGTCAATGGAAGGGAAAAGACCTATACAATATGAATATAAACTTGTTCAGTGACCAAAAGCTATTTAGAGATTTGTACCGTGGACAGAAAAAATGCAAGAGTATGTTATATATTAACTTGATGCAGTTCCCAAGTTTCATGTATGTTTATTAGACATGGCTCTCACTTGTTTTGTACATTTACTGACTGAAACGTCTAAATTTGTAACTAATGCCAACTGGTTAGACTCAGGGCTGTGAAACTTTAGTTTCCATCAAGAAGCGTGGCAGGGGAAGGGGAAAGTGCTTATACATCCTTTGTCTGAAGGAGCTGTATTATGTACACAGTACATGGTCACTGCCAAATGACTGAACACCAAGGTCAACGGACTTAATTTAGCAAATCAAAAATGGCCACTGGAAGAACACATGTTCCCTGCCATGTTTTGATACAGGGTTGTTTCTAATATGTTCCACTGATTTCTGGAATATTTTCCCATTGCTTTCTTTCTTCTCTGCTGGTACTCGACAATGTAGCACTCTATCCTCCAGAAAGAATGCTAAGAAGCTTATTTGGAGTCAGCCCCAATGTGCACAGGAGTCTTGTAGCAAATATTATGAGTTATTTCCTAAAAGTGTTCTCTAGGCTTCACCAGCCTCAACTATTTTTTCCCAGTTGGCAGGCTGTTAAAATGCTGCCACTAGACCACAGAAATGAAAGCCTTAGTGTCTCATCTATCCAAGGCTTTCAGAAAGAACTTTACGAAAAAGTAGTCACAGTTTTTAAATATTACCATAGCCCCATTCCTATCCCCGTCTGCTGTAATAAATAGGAGAGTGCACTAATTTGCACTGATCTACTTTGATACAACCTAGAGAACTATCACTGGTGCCAACTGGGGTTTAGGCTCAAGTGGCCCTGCCTTCCCACACGCCTTTGAGATACAACATAGGCAGCAGCTTCCCACAGATTTCAAAGGGAGACAGACACGACCAGGATAGAATGGATATCATTAACAACATATTTTAGGGCCTACTTGTAAAGAATTTTATCACTGTGTGGTTATAGTCAGAGGAATGACTGTAATATGGTCAGACTCTATATTTGGTCCCTCTCATTGACTCCATATCCAATTTGCTCAATTTACAAGACAAAAAAAAACAGAGTTAACAGCCGGTGCAAGTGACTTGGGATCTAAAAATCCAGCTGCATCTTATATGACCAGTGAAAGATTCTAAAATCATAAATCAGATGGCACTTGTATTGATGTGTAAGATATAATAGAATTCCTCTCCCCCCACAAAACCATATCAGCTCTGTAGTAGAAAATTGGCTTGTCCTCTCTAAAGCAAGCAGATATAACTCAAAGACAGAGATGGGACCAAATGCAGCTCTGTTATCAGGGTATAAAGCTGGAGTAACTATTGTCTTTTGATGTTAGGACAGTAGTGTCTCCCTCCTCCCTATCCCGACTGGATGGTTTAATTCTATAATGCATCGTTAAAAAAATATGAAGCCCACAAGTGATTCCCCTAAACAGATTTTAAATAAAGGTCTTGGTCAAAGGGGCGATAGAGGGTTAACTCTTCAGAAGCTGCCCATTGTAAAAATCTGTGCATGCCTGCGATGTCGGTATGCACAGCGAATTTTGAATGCATTTCTAAAAAGCGCCACTACACACACACTCCTGCTCCACTCCTGGCAAAGGATTTTCCCAATCTCTTACTCTGAAGTGCTGCCACCCACCTATGTGCAAAGAAATGAAGAGCCAGCTCTTGCTGTAAGACCATTCTGGTTCCTGGTTCGAATATTTCCAAAGTGCCTGTTTTGGTGGCTGCAAGAGAACCTCCTACCATTTCTGTCCCATCTAGGGTGACCAGGTGTCTGGTTTTTGACTGGAACACCCGGTTGAAAAGGGACCCTGGCAGCTCCGGTCAGCACCACCGACTGGGCCGTTTAAGGTTCCGTCAGCGGTGCTAAGGCAGGCTAGTCCCCTACCTGTCCTGGCTCCACGCTGCGCCCCGGAAGCGGCCAGCAGGTCCAGCTGCTAGGCGGGGGGCCATGGGCCTCCAGACACTGCCCCCGCCCCAAGCACTGGCTCTGCACTCCCATTGGCCGGAAACCGGCCAATGGGAGCTGGGGGGGGCAGTGACTGTGGCAGGCAAGAGCAGCACGTGGAACCTCTTGTCCCCCCACCTACTAGTGGCGGATCTGCTGGCTGCTTCTGGGGCATGCGCAACGCGGTGTCAGGACAGGCAGGCAGCCTGCCTTAGCCCCCCCTCCCCTCACCGAGAACTGCCCCAGGTAAGCCCGCATCCCAACCCCGAGCCCCTGCCCCAGCCCTGAGCCCCCCACTGCATCCCAAAGCCCTCATCCCCAGGCCTAGCCCAGAGCCCGCCCCCGCAGCCCAGAGCCCTCACACACAAACCCCAGCCCCGAGCCCCCCCCAACCTGGATCCCCCTCCTGTACCTCAAACCCCTCATCCCTGGCCCCACCCCAGAGCCCTCACCCCCTCCTGCACCCCAAGCCTCTACCCCAGCCCAGTGAAAGTGAGTGAGGGTGGGGGAGAGCGAGCCACCTGGATACTAACAATGAAACACTATTCCATGGAAACCTTACAGAATCACAGAGGTTAGATGTAGAAAAGACCTGTGATGTCTTCTAATTCACTGCCCAGCTGCCATTACAGGATTGTAACACATTTGCTTGTTTCATGTCCATCTAGTTAGTTTCAACTAGTAAGAAGAGGCCTGTGGATCACTTCACCACGCCACAAATTACACATTTCTACGAAACTATGAAACAGCTGTACCTGAACAGCTGGAGCTTTGTGACAACATAAAAAGAAAGATGCATCCAACAGGCTCAGTCTCCTCTCAGTTACAACAGTTTCATGTTGATATAACACCGTTGTTTTTGATGGAGTTACTCATTGGCATCAGTGTAGCATGAACACACAGATGAACATAATTTGTTGGGGAAGAGTCTAGATGGCTTTTGTAAAGGGAAATCATGCCTTATCAATCTATCAGAATTCTCTGAGGTGGGTCAACAAACATGTGCAAAAGAGTGAGCCAGCGGATAGAGTGTACTTGGACTTTTCAGAAGGACTTTGATAAAGTCCCTCACCAAAGACTCTTAAGCAAAGTAAGCAGTCATGGGATAAGAGGGAAGATCCTCTCATAGATCAGTAACTGGTTAAAAGACAGGAAATAAAGGGTAGGAATAAAAGGTTAGTTTTCACAATGGAGAGAGATAAATGGCAGGGTCCCCCAAAGATCTGTCCTGGGACTTGTGCTGTTCAACGTATTCTTAAATGATCTGGAAAAACGGGTAAACAGTGAGGTGGCAAAATTTGCAGACGATACACAATTACGCAAGATAGTTAAGCCCAAAACAGGCAGCAAACAGTTACTGTACAAAGGGATCTCACAAAACTGGGTGACTAGGCAACAAAATGGCCCATACAAATAATGTTGATAAATGCAAAGTAAAGCACATTGGAAAACATAATCCCAACTACACATATAAAATGATTGGATCTAAATTAGCTGTTACCACTCAAGAAAGATCTTGGAGTCATTGTGGATAGTTCTCTGAAAACATTGCTCTGTGTGAAGTGGCAGTCAAACAGAGTGTTAGGAAACATTAGGAAAGGGATAGATAATAAGACAATAAATATCATAATGCCACTATATAAATTCATGGTATGCCCACACCATGAATACTGCATACAGTTCTGGTCACCTCATCTCTAAAGAGATAGATTAGAATTGGAAAAGGTACAGAGAAGGTCAACAAAAATGATTAAGGGTATGGAACAGCTTCCGTATGAGGAGAGATTAAAAAGACTGGGAATTTTCAGCTTGGAAAAGAGATGACTAAGGCAGGAATATGACAGAGGTCTATAAAATCATGAATGGTATGGAGAGTGTTATTTATTCCTTCTCATAACACAAGAACTAGGGGTCACCCAATGAAATTAATAGGTGACAGGTTTAAAAGAAACAAAAGGCACAACACACAGTCAAACTGTGGAATTTGTTGCCAGGAGATGCTGTGAAGGCCAAAACTAGGTTCAAAAAAGAACTAGATAAATTCATGGAGAATAGGTCCATCAATGGCTATTAGCCAAGATGGTCAGAGATGCAACCCCATGCTCTGGGAGTGGATGACAGGGGATGGATCACTCGATAATTGTCATGTTCGGATCATTCCTTCTGAAGTACTGGGCATTGGGCACTAGAGAGACGAGTATGGCCATTCTTATGAAAATGAGGCATAATGGCTGTATTTTCAACGCAGAAATATTTTAAAGCAAAGGAATTTAAAGTAAGAATAATATAGTAACTATAGTGGGATAATAATTTTATCTCACTCATTAGGTGGACCTAATGCATTAGTTACCTCTGCTGGGACCTTTGAACTCTGAAGCATGCAATGTGGGATATCATGAGAGGAAGGTGGGGAGGGAGGAGGAAACAAAAACAGTGAAAATTCAGATAATGAATTTTTCTCTCAATGCTTAAATGAAGTACAGTATTTTAATGAGAAACTGTTGGACATTTCTATGGATGCGGCTATAAGCAATTCATTACTTGCAGAAGTTTTAGCATTTCCTACATGGAACAGATATTTAACTATCGACACTAGACCGTATATGAAAACTCGATTTCTTCATACCATTGCATTATGCATTAAAATTCCTTTCTCACCCTCTATTCTCCATATGCATATACATATATATTTATGCACACACACACGAACTGTGCAGGTCATGGGAAGGCCCTGTCGTCTATCTAGGCCTTGCGACGTCTCTCAAAAGTAATTCTTTGACCTTTAAACAAGATTACTTTTGAACCATGTCCCAATGATATATTTTTATAGTCAGTGATAGGGTTGATTCTGGGGCCACACACCACAAAAAGGAAGAGGAGATTCTCCCTAATCGTCTCTTCAAAGGCCACAAATTGCTTTAAATATTTACCTTTTGACTGCCAAGGTTGTACGGGGGACCTAAATCTTGACGGCTTCCAGATATCTGAAATGGTTAAAGTAAAAACACAGTAGTTTCTGCAAAATGTTAAGTACCTCTAATAAATGTGTCTTGAAAATACATAAGAGCAGGAGAGATGGCCTTGCAGTTATAGCACAAAACTGGGAGTCAAGCGGTTTAGAGTGAAATGCTGTCCCCACTGAAGTCTGTGGCAGAACTTCCACTGATTGGACCCTTAGGTTCTATCCCTAGCTCTGCCGCAGATTTCCTGTGTGATCTTGGTCAATCTCAAAATCTCCTTCATGTGTTAAACAGAAAATATAATCTCTACAACTCAGGCATGTATGAGGCTTAATTCATTAGTATTAGTATTTATAACATGCCTTGAGATGTTCAGACAAAAAGAGTTGTAAGCACAAAGTATTAACTTGATAATTGGATGAAAAACCTTCCGTGTTTCAAAAAAGAGTAGTGTGTACAGAAGTACATGTCACATGATTATTTTTACATAGTCTGGATAGGTCTGGGTGTTTAGAACACTAGCCTATGTGATCAGGATACGGAAATTTCTGGGTTTTCTCTCTGCTCAGGAATTCACGTGCTGGCTTATCTCCCCCACCACCAATGGTGCAATTGGGGGATCAGACCAGAGGCAACTCATCGTCTTATTCTCCCATCTGGACAGCTTAGGGCCCTGTCAGTTGTATGGTCTGCCCTCCTCATGGATCTATTGATGCAACTGTGGCATACTTACCCGATTGACATTGGGAGAGCTCAGACTCCTCCTGTTAAGTTTTCCTTTCCCCGTTAACTGCTCTTTCACCGCAACCTCCTGCAGACCAGTCAAGACATCAGGACAGAAACACTTTACAAGCATCTAAACCGTGATCCAAGTGTAGTTTTGCATATACAGTACATGAAAATATTTCTATATAGCCCTAATGCACCATAGACGAAACGAGACTTCATAATTTAATTTTTAATGTCTCATATAGTATGCCGATAGTAGGAAGTCTACAGGGAGTGGGCAAGTTTGGTCCACTAGTAACTATTTGCTCAGTGGTAGGCTAGAATTTTATATAATCTTTAGAAGGTCACTGAGCATCTATAGCCTATAGATCTGTATCTATGAGAGGGCTATATCTCTAACAGATGTGAACAGTAAGACTCCTTTTCCTAGCTGAGCTCTTATTTTAATCCTTTACAGTAATTATATTTGACAGAGAACTTGCTTTCAATATTTAAGAGTGCAGCGCACTTTATTGTTAATTTATAGGGGGCAAGCACATGCTCAGATTTGTTTTGGATGACTTTATCTCTTCCTTGCATACCTTATACCCAGAAATACAATTGTCCATAAATGTGTCCCTCTCCTGCGTTTTTCCTGGTAAACAGATCAAGTTACAATACTTACGATTAACCTAATCAATGTCTCACTTATTGAGAGAACAGGCTTGGTTACTCCAACGCATAGCATGTACAAGATGACACAAGGTTTGCTAATCACTTCAGAAAACTTGCTTTCTGAAACTCTGGGTTTAATTTTAAAGCCAACTCCACACAAAACTATCTTTTTTGAATTACAATTCTGGCAGTGCACAGTGTGTTTTGAAACCCAGAATGGACAGTGAAACTGATATCAAGCCTTCAATCCCACCTGTATTGCATACAATTTAGAAGGAGTAACTAAAGAGCTTCCTGCACTTGCTTCCTTGGGTGTCTGTCACAGAACACTCTGAAGAGCTGAGCCATATACTGACGTGACCCTCTTGTTTATTAAGCCATTGCATGCACTTATAAAAAGATTTCTATCACAACAGTGTTCTCAGTCAGTATATTTATTGATGTCAACTCTGGCACTGGAGAAAAGAAAAAGAAAAAAAAAGACACCTGGCGAAGACGATCCAGGGTGAGAATGTTCTCCACTGCCAGCACACTCCGCAGGTACTTTTCAATATAGGCTTCTGAGTCAGCCGAAGCTGCGTTTTCAACATTAGCTGCCATCCTTGCTAGCGCTTCCCGCTCCTCAGCTCCCTCAGCATCCTGGGAAGAAGGAAAGAAAGGCTGCCTAGTTTAAAGGAAATATTTCCAATTAAAAAAAACAACCACCCAAAATACAGCCAACCAACCAAAAAACAATACATCTCTTTCCTGTACAGACCACAGGAAGGCTTTGAAAAAAATGGATGATGTTGATTCAACATTGAATCTTCCCCTAAATTAGATAAGAAATTAATCTACTTCTGCAGCACATGCAGGAATCCCCAACAAAAACGTTTTAGGAGCTCCTGCAGCATAGACGCTAGATGAGTGCTTCTGTTGTTTTTGATGAGTCGAACCCTTCAGCTGTAAATGCTGGTGATGGTTCTCTGTTCTTGTCAGCAGAGTTTAATGGGGAGATATCACCATCAAGCAATGTAAATGCTATTCATGGGGGAATTCTGCACCACTGCGCAAGCGCAGCATTAACATCTCTCATAGATATTTTCCCCCCTGCAGAATAATTGACTCTGATGGGGACTCGAGGAGGTGAAGGGAAGCCACAAGAGGGGTCATGCTGCAATTATACCTTTTGCTCGCCAGGGGCTAATGTGGTGCCAGAAGAGAGGGCAGCTGGCTCACATGCTGGAGCAGCCAGCCATGGAGAGGGAGGGGGCAGAGGCTGCCTTCCTCACAATGCCCTGCCTGCAGGGCCAGGTGAGGAGGCATGGGATTGGGGGGGGGGAACAGAGCAGGGCACCCAGAGCTGCTGGGGGTGGGGTGGTGGTGATCACACAGACTGGAGTTCAGAAGGGCTAGTTGGGGCAGGGACACAGGAGCTAGTGGCGTGACAACATTGAGTGGGAGTGGGGGTGCAGGGCCACATGGGTATAGGAAGAAGTTGGGGTGCAGGCCAAACGGGGACTGGGACAGATGTGCCTGATTAAATGAGAGGTGTTGAGGTCAGCCCAGGTCTGCATGGGAAAAGCTCCCCAACTCCCTAACAATCCCTCCCCCACAAAAAACCTGTTCCATACTTCTCCCACCCACACCTCACAACCCTCCAGGTTCACTCCCAGGCTCTTTCCCAGCAATTACTTCCCTCTCCCTCAGCTCCTCCATTACCCCCGACTCTCCCAAGCCTTCGCACTGCTTCTGAGGGGTGTGGGAAATACGGTTCTGTATTGTGGTTTAAATGAATTATTACTCAAAGTTCTGTACTAATATGCCTAGTAAGGAATCTATTTGTCAAAAACATTTCCTTAATCTTTTTTGTTTTCTGTATTGTTACAGACATACTTGCTGACAGGTATTTTGAAATAAATTACCAAAATAATTGAAACTGGCATGATTATATTGTGTTATTTTGACAAGTAAAATATACAGAATTTTTATATATTGTGCACAGAATTCCCCCAGGCGTAAAATGTCTGTCTTCAGATATTTTATAAACACTAAAGTCAGCCACATTTGGGTTGTTGCCTGCTCCCTACAACATACTAGGCTATCATATGAAGGGAAATAAAACGAAGAAAGTTGACAAAACAGAGACTACAGCTTCAGACGCACTTTGGGTGTGAGGGGTGTCTGTCTCTCGCAGTGCTTTCTTGGAGGCTGTTACTGGGTATCTGTTTTGACCGAACGAAGGCAAGAGTGGAGGCAATGAAGGAAAGTATGACGAGGCTCAGTGCTCGAAGGGTTAAAGCAAGGTATTATTTATTAAGGGGCAGCCTCAACTTGAAATTTAGATTCTATTTTAAAAAAAAAATGTAAAAGTAGTCAGGTACTAAACCTGCTCCCAGATCCCAGGACAAGGTTTCTTACAATATTTCTCTTCCCCATTGCTGAATGAAAGACCCACACAAACAAGGAGGGAAAACTGAATAAACAGGGTAAACAATGCAGATTGCTGCCAAATGCGCAACGTGGAAAGAAACCAGTTTGTCTAATCTCTTTCTGTTCTAGGAATCTTAGTTATTAGTTGTAGCAACAATAGGCAATGAATATTCAAATAGATGTGAGATTTCAAGAAGTTGGTGACCCTTTGACAGTTTCAGATATTTTCAATTCCTAGTTATTCACCTCTGGAATATTAGAGACTATCTCAAAGGTGACTCCACAGCCAGGAATGGAACTTCGGTGAGACATTCTTCTCAGGAAGCTCTGTGCAAAACCCTATAGAGGAAGAAGGAAAAGAGGAAAAAATGGTTGTTTCAGTTTTTTTTTAAAAAATTGTCTTTTAAAATAACATTTTCAACAAAAGCAAATGTTTGTATATGGCAAATAACAACAGACAAAACATGCAGGCAACATTCAAAGGACTTTAGTCCAAATAAAGACGAAATCAGTTATTTTTGTCTTCATTACAGATGTAAAAAGGGGATTATCTTTCTACACAGCAAGGTG